ATAAATTACTCAAAACCAATACCTTCAATTTGTAGCCACTAGGGAGGTGATAGTAATCATTTTCTGTCATGGACATAATCAAGTAATGCAATGCTGATCTGGGGTACATTCTGCAGTATAACAGTTACAGACAAAAATTTTGGCAGATTGAGGTAATCATCATTTACTTTGTACTGCCTGAGAATAATCCCCACCCTTATATCTAGGCCAGCAGCACTCTGAGCTGCAAGGATATAAACAAAAGTCATTGGAGTTCAATGAAGTGATGTATATGTGTGAAAATTACAGAATCACTGGATACTCTGAGTTGGAATGGACCCACAAGGATCATTGAGTCCAACTCTTTAGTGAATGGCCCACGCAGGGATCAAACCCATGACTTTGGTGTTATTAGCATCATGCTCTAACCAACTGAGCTAATCTCAGCGTCAAAATTGAATTGATATATCAGAAATTTTTGTATGTGATATACTAGTGGATTTTTTTAGTAAAAATTATGCTTTTTATTTTTCTTATCTCTAATAACACATAAAACATATCTAAATATATTATTTTTAATAGACTGTTTTATTTATCCTTTTAAAATTTCTATTTATATTAGTTAGTTAAACATCCATGCATAAATGCAAGTGTTTGAGATATGTATCCAAGATATAATTTCTGTGCAATTTTAAACATGTATATTATTTTATTTTATTTCTGTAAATTATGACAAAATAAGACATTGAACGGGGGAATTAGTTTTGACCAAGTCAGTCCCTAGACTGATTCATCATGCAGGTACATGAACACTAACCTGAGCAAGAAGAAGGGAAAAGCTGGCTCTTTTCAGGAGCAGCTCCACATTATGTCCCAAAATATGATGATGGAAATCAGATTTCTGTAAGAAAAGAAGACTCAGGTCTCCAACTGTCTTTATGCAAGACTGCACCCCAAATTCCTCAAGTGAAATTATTTTGAAATGTGCCATTCAACACTAGATGCTAGTATAATAAACAAGAATGCAAGAAAAATCTTACAGCTTTATGCAGTACTCCCTGTTGTAAGTGCCTAAGCAACTTTTAATCTTCAGAGTTTTACACCTGACTGTGACACTCATGGATTGGGAAGAGCTGCTGTGCTTGTTCAAAAGCTTTAGCTATCATACAGACCTCCTGATTGAAGAACAAAAGTAAAGGGCCAGTGCCAGCTTTATTTCAACTGCATGTAATCAGCTTGAAGTTACTTTCCAATGTGCACTGGGAAGTTCACATATCACAATGGGCTAAAAGTGAGTTTACAGTAAAATGAAACCTTTGCTTGGGTAGATAAGACAGAATGCAGAAAATGCAAACATTTGTTAAAATGTTTCATAAATATAATCACATTTGCGTTACTTGTACAAATAAAATGTATTTTATCTTTCAGCTGTTCACTTAAATATTCCTTGGACTCCGAAGACATTTTTCATGTAAAGCAACACAGATTTGTGATATTTCATGTTTCAGGTGTCCAGTTTGGGGCAAGTAGAGCTTGTTTCTTACAGGGATAGAAATACACTTAATTTCTAAAAAGCAGCTTTACAACATGGAACTACATTGAGATTTATTTTGTTTGAATATATTTTGAAGTTCAAAACCAAATCCCTCTTCTATTACTACAATGAGATTGATATTCAGAGAAAATTTTACAAACATAGGGCCATTTATGATCAACCCTATTTCCAGGAATACAAAGAAAGGAGAGACACTAGACATCTGCCATTTTGTGTTGCCCACAAAATTGCCAAGCGTCACTTGCAGTCTGGAAATATGTGGAATCATTTGTCAATGGATGTCTTTCCTTCCGCAAAAGCCTCATCTCCCCTTGTCACTAGCTAATACCGGCCATCCTTAACAATGTTTGATGCGCACAAATTTATCAATGACCAATGGATTTGCCTAAACCTCAGAGTCCCAGTCGACTTCCAAGAGAATGTGCTTCTGCATATCTTTTTCCCCCACCATAATGCAGTCTATAGGCAGATGATGCAATTGAACAGTGGTATTTCTATGTTTAAAATATTTAATTAATTAGTTAAATTCTGCTTTTTGGGATTCAGCAACATGAAAGATCAGTAAAAACAAGCAGAAAGTTAAATGGAGTATAGTATGACAAACAAAGGAATTAATGAGGGATGAACTTTTCAGGTAAACTGGTTCAAAATGTACTGTTTTTCATGAACAAGCACAAGTCACTTTAGAACAAAAAGCACAATGTAGACCTTCAGATTGCTTGAAAAGTGTTGAAATTTGCAGGTCTGGCAGTGACAGGTTTTGAGCAGAAAAAAATCATGGGGTTTTTATTCCTACTAGGAGGGCATTTAAATTTTTACTTTTAAAAAAATGGATGCTTTTTTAAATTCCTGATAAAAAAATTCCAGCCTTCGGCCTGATTTCAGTGCTGCTTAAAAGAATGACCAGAATTTAGTTAGCAGTCTGTTCAATAACTTCTCCTTGTCGGGAAAGCTTTTGTTGCTGATCCAAGATTACCTTATCTTGGGTGGCAAAAAGTCTGTATTTTAAAAATGATTCTGCCTCCCAGGACTTCAAAGAGCTTCCTCCTGTCTGTGACTAATGTTAGCTAAAACACACACAAAGGTGTTCCTCTATCACTAACAACAAATAATCAGAAGACAGTTCTAACATGAAATGTCTTGCCTAGCTTCAACAAGAACATGAAAAAATCTCATCGCTCCATACTTGAGTCAACTATAGCTACAAATATAGCTACTTCTATAAAGTCTAGGTAGCAAAATTTAGGAGGAAGACTGTTGTTCTATGTCCTATGGTTTTTAGAAAAATACATAAACCATATCATTGCTTAGAAGTGTAACTGAAGTCTGCAGCAGTTCACACATATTTTGCAAAAGCTGGGAGTTATTATAAATATATCTGGGTTAATTAACTGCCATTATAGTATTTTTATGCATTTAAAAGGAGAAGTAGCTTTTTGGCACACTGCAGATGACATATTATTCAGGATGACAATTAAATCATAGTAAAGTCAGTGGCATAAACAATGGCATAAGCTGCTGGATTTTAGTGCCTGCTCCATGTATTGTTGTTTCCTAAATTGCCCCTTGCTGCTCCAAGAGATAGAGAGATCAGGGAACTCCCAAGCTGGGCAGATGAGAACCACCTCAGCTCCTGAGCAGCTGGTTAGATACATTCTTAGCCAAGTCTGCTGGAGGAGGTTGAGGTACCCAATGATTGCTCCTGACACAAACCTAAGCTGGCAGTACGAACCCTTCCTTCACTCTTCCATGCTTTAGTGCAAGAGATCTTTATGCGAATGAAAGTTCTCCATCTCATCTCTACTCACTTCCATATGTGCAAGTGCCAAATACAGCCCTGGGCCGGAGAAAAAGCTTCAGACTTTGGTCACTGTCAGTCCAGCCCCATTCTATTGCTTTGAGAATGCTCCAGGCTAAAATAAATAAATAACCAGAAAAATGGATGACAGTTGGTATTAACAGTCCTGATTTGCTTTCCTCTCCTTTCAAGTAATGAATCACCAGTGAAAGAGTGATGACTCGCTAAGGGAATCCAAAACATGCTTTCTCTTTCATATGTGAGTCTGCAGTAGCCATCCATGCTCCAAAAGGGGAGAAAACTGGGCTGCATTTTAATATTCATTTTCATGAAGCTGTCAGAACTGCCTGTAAGCACAAAGGGATTTTTAAGGAAAAACAGAACTGCCCTCACATCTCACTAGTGTAGTGAGAATGCATAAATAGTTGCACATGGCAGATAGTTTGTGTCAACACAGTATTTGTGAGCATCTGGGTAGCAACTGTTGGACACAAGAGAGCATTTGCTAGCAAAATGTTATGCTATTGCCTACAAAGTGCCGTGTTACCCAAAACCTCTGCAAGGTGCTGTTCAAATCTGCCACGCAGAAAGGAGTGCCCAGGGTAAGAGTTTATTAAGCATTACCAAGATTATTTGAGAAGAGAGAACTTGTTGTGTTCTAATTGTGGTACCTGGCTTTATGCTCTGAGCTCTTTCTGATGGTGTCTATTGTCTAAGAACCTGGACAGGTCCTCACCTCTGCCTGGCCAGTCCCTGGCATGGGTGGACAAAGTTGCATGCCAAATTTTGGGAACACAGTGACAGACCCCTCTTCACTGATTGGATTTCCCTCTTTCCTCCACACAATTTTCTCACTGTGCCATCTGACTTCAGAGGCTTGATCTGGTGCACTGCAAGTCCCTTTTTTCCTGGAAGCCCTGAGGAATGCTGTGGGTGCACAAGGACAGATTCTTCCCTGGGGAGTGCATCTGATTAAGGAAGCTTTTAGCTAACCTGAAACTGCCAGTGTATCAAAAAGCAGGCATGATCATGGCCAGAAGTCACTAACACACGTGGGAGCTGGGGCAAGATTCTCCCCAGTGCTGGCTCTCCCTAAAAGCCTGAATTTGTTGACATAAACACCAGAGGCAGGGGGACAGTGATCTGGGATGCAAGACACTGGAGAGACATGAAGGAAGAAAGTCTATTTTTAATCTAATTTGCCAAGTCACATATCTCCAACTTTCAACCCCACACTTCTCACAGAATTCCCACTCCTCTCTTTTGTTTCCCATTTACCACAGGCAACAGTTCACCAGGAACCTCATATCATCATATTTTTGACTGTGTGTTTTTTTGAATTATGTATTTAACCAGCAGGATTACTTCCACGAAAAATTGTAGATGGCTGTTATGATTCCTAACCACAGTTTGTCTTCAAGGAAAAAAATTGTAGCTGAATGGAGTCTTATTTAATTTTTGAAATTTTAAAGGACTACAGGGGCCTCTGCATAATTACCTTTCTATTGCTCTGAACCTAAAGCCTAGGTTATTATTAAAATAAGTAGCTAACTAGGACATCAGTCTACCAAAACCCACCAACATCTGACTTTCAAGAAACTAAAGTAAACAGGCAAAATAGTCTTTGGCAGACTTGTAGCTTTTACATATTTTCACTGGAGTAGTCTGGACTGCAGTGAACATCTTTCTTCCCTGGTTTTATGTCACCCAATCCAGTCCCTCATGAGTACATTTAGGAAATGAGAGATATTAAATAATTTCTTTCTGCACAGTGGCAGGTCTATCTTTAATTCAGGTATAAACACAGCATTTCCTCAAAATCATTTTTATCCCGCATGAAAAAAAAAGAAAAAGAAAAAGAACCGATCAAATGGATCAAGCTATACAAAGATATCATAAAAAATTTTTATTTACATACATCTCTCTTACCTAAGTGTCTTTCTTCTTTAGAGTGATTTTCTTCTCAGCTTCCTGCATTTTCTACCACCCTGTTACATTTTAAGAAAGAAACTACAGGCTGAAGTTTCTCCTCTGTTACACCATAAAAACTTTGGAAAAATTACTATTTCAAAGTTATTTCTTTTAATTTTGGGTACATTATTTTAAGTGTAAAATGAGTCTTTGGTGTTCCATCACTTAAACTGAAAAAAAATATTTTGGCAATGAAGAATTTTGTACTTCACTAATACACCAGCAGTGTTGAGAACATGTCTCAAAAAATGTGAACAGTACTTGTAAAACTGTGTAACTCTCCTCAAATGACACAATAGCATTTTATGTGGCTGAAAATGAAAGAGTATGTATGAGGTTGATCCTGAATACTATTCCAACACCTTATTTAAACAACCTCTGCTTGTTTGCAATTTTCATTACTTTATATGTTTTTTTAGTTCAGTTCTGTCATAAATGCACTTTGTAAAACATTAATCTTAACCATATGCAACCAACTGAACATTGTAGTATCTTTCCTCAAGTTTTTATGTATCTCTGCATTCCAGTCAACTGGCAACCCAAGTTGTTGTGTAAAACCCTCAACCAATGCTCTTGACTTCCACAGGGCCCATAATTCTTTCCAAGGCTTTTCACTTCAGAGACTTGTTTGAAGGTGAGTCCTTTGGATATATTTCACAGAATAATGGCAGGGACTAGCACATTATTCCACTCAAATACTTGTGCTTGAGTGAGAGCATCCCTATACTGCAGTTATTTGGCAGAGAAATGTGAAGAAGCTTTGAAGTAGCTCAGATTCTGTTAACAGTGTAGAATTTGGCAATATGAGTGACAAAAATTGTCTGATAACATTAACGCTTTTGAGATGGCAGGGTGAACACTTGATGGTCAGTAACCCCATGACTCTAGTGTTTTTAATTCAGGTTTGTCTGCAGGTTTCTCTATACTAGATGTATCAGGATGAGTCCCCCTAAAACCTTTATGATTTTCATACAGTTTTTATGAAACATATTTAAAATCCAAAGTTCTGCCTATGCTCCAAAATGTCCTTCCTGTATCTGCTATCTGATGGACTATGTAGAGGAAAATTAATATATTGTCAACTAAAAAATTGGAATTTTTTACATGTATTGAGTTTGGAATAATCCTGAAGTATTATAAGATCATGGAAGGACTATTAGCATAATATATTTATACATATATGTATATTTAATCAGTACTTAATGGTGATATAATAATAGGTTTCTCATAGAGAATGACAATATGATTTTCATCTTCCTGAATTAATATTCTTGCAGAATACTGAAGACCATTTTTATACTTCACTCACATGCAGAAAGAAGAAATCTTTTTCTAAGCAAGTAAGGAATCCTCTAAAACAAATCAAAGATGTGGGCACTGATCACAGAAGACTAATTAACTTAAGGCAAGTAACCCAGGAAAATTAATGCTGAATTCGGGGTAGTTCAAAGACTTCAAGGATAATAGTTTAAAATGAAGCATTTATGGCCTTGAATAGTTAAGACCTTGTGAATTACTGTATTCTATTCAGAAGGCATGAAACATTAAAGGTGAGAGGAATAGAAATAAGTCTGTATGTACAAAGTGATGGGAAGGAGAAAGGAAGAGCTCTCACGCAAGATTCCTCAAGATCTCAAAGTCTACTCAGGAGATAGTGACCACTACTACTGCACTATGAACAGGGACATGGATGCAGGGAGGTTGTCAAAGGAACATGTGCAGGGGTTCCAGGCATGCTGGATTCCCCCTTAGGTGGTGTGTCTGGTGGATGCTGCACCTGTGACAGGGTCTTCATGTCCCATGTTTGTAAGTAGCTTCTTTATAGTGTTGCTAAAATCAGTGTTCACTACTCAGAAACAGAGAAGAAGGTTCTGAATCACTGATGTAAAGTGGCACTGTAAAGGCAATGTGATCCTAGAACACACCAGGAAGATTTTTGCTGGATAAATAAAGCTTTAGTACCTCAGTATAAGATGCTTATGTGACCCTGTCAGAAATAATAATGATCAGCTTTTAAATGGGTGTTTCAGAAGGATAAATTGAAAGTTGGAACATATGTCCAAAAGGGCCATTGAAATGACAGGGCTACTTGTATTGCTGAAGAAAGTCAAGAGTTTTCAAAGAGAGACAGGAAACTCTGATAAGGTGTCACTAGAAAACACCAAAGCAAAAAAGAGATGTTGCTGCTGAAGGACAAAAGGGGTGGATATCCACAGGTTTTTAGTAGATGTACCCATGAAAGTCGAGGTTTTCTAGCAAAGTGGAACAGCTGCAACAGGAGACTGTAAGAGGGACAAACAGAATAGTTGTTAAGAAAAAGGGAGTAAAACAGCAGTTTGAACATCCCTTTCCTCAGTGTTTGCTGTTTTGGGCTATATTTCTCATTCTTTGATTAAACTTTGAAAACATTGAAAACCCGTCTTTTATCATCTTCAGCTATATTGTCTACTGAAAGAGAGTGTTGACTTGGAAAGCTATAGGCAGGAGCAGAGTGAGGTGTTTTACTTCTATATATCTTGAAGATTTCAGCACTATGTCTTGGTGAAGAAAAATAAAACCTAATTAGCGATAGCAATAATGTTATAATAAATATAGTACAAAACTTAGAAGCGTACCTTAACATAAGAACCTACAAACACTTTTGATGAATGTTAATCTGGCAACAACAGTAACATCTATTGCACAAGTATTTAAATACCACCACTGTCAGGTTTTTGGACAGAGCTGTCTTCACAGAAAATTGTATTTTATTAGAATAAATAATGTATATTGATTCCATTTCGAACATACACATGAAACCTGCTTTTTTTTCCAGGCAACCTCACTACGTCAGCTCATTATGGTTAAGGAAAAGAGATAATATTAAAATATGTTGGGTAAGCAATTTTATTATGCTAAAAGTTTACCATGTCTACTCTAGAGCTTTTAAACACAAAATTACCTCTTTTTTTTTTGAGATTTCTTAACCGGCTGAAACAAACTCTACCTTATTCCAAAGGACATAGAGAACAAACTTCAGCTCTTTTCCTTGTTTAATAAGTTTAGGATGTTCCCCTTAAGGCTCAGTGTGGATGCAGTGACATCACAGTTGTATATTTTCTAAAAACATATATTCTGAATGCCTCAGCAGAGTAAAATAAGTGCTTTCACAAGTCAGAAATAAGTGAGGTTTCTCAAGTTTCGTGAAAATGCATGCATGGGTGAAGATCAAGTATGGAGATTTTCTGCTGAACAGGTGAGTATTTTTACAAAACTGCCAAAGCATGTCTAAAATAATATTTTTAATAATATAGCATCTTATTGTCATTTTACTGTATAGCAAAAATTACTGGCTCTACAGCATCACCACAATTTCTTTGAAATCCTATTCCCTCAAATTTATTTTTTCTTGATCTGAAAGAATGAGCCATGGCTAATATTTTTAAATATATATATATATATATATATACACACACACAAAACTGTGATTGATTACACTTGATTTTGATTAAGTGGATATGCATTGTTCATTTCCATCCCAAAAGGGATCAAGAAAGTAAAGAATGAATGAAAAATGTTAGCAAAGTCATTTAAGAATGAATGTGATTAGAATCCCTATCCCCCTTACCGTACTCAGAACTCTCAAGAGCAAATGGCAAATGTATTCCAGCCACTGGCAAGCAAAGAATAGATAATAAATCTCAGAGAAATGAGGAAGGTTAATGGAAGACCATAATAAGGAAAGTAAATTATCTCACAAAATTCAATTAAGAACTTTGATATCTAAGGCTAAAAGTAGAAACAAGAAGTTCAGAGATACCTGGACATAGAATTGTGTGTAATTGAAACAAGAAAATGTAGAACAAAAATGTTTTTTAGTAGAAAGAAGTCAGTTTTACAAAGGTGAAAGAGGGACAGAAGTATTTACTCCATTGAAAAAGCTTCTTTACTGGCTGGATTGGATACTGTTGTTTTGTTATATGCAAGCTGGACTGGACTGAGTATTTTAATATTTCCTACAGTGTGATCATCTGTCAAAGCCATTCTCAATGGTCAGGAATTCCCCCTCTCTTCCTGTCTCACATGGGGATGTATTTCCCAGTGAATTCTATTCTACAGCCTTGTTTTTAACCTTGATTAATTAAAGAAGGTAAATGAGTAAGAATAAATACAAAGAACAAACAGTTTTCAATTACTTTGGGCTGCTATCAATATGGGATACAGTTGACAGAGTAGCTTACAACCACTATCAACTCACTTCCAGGTCCTTATTCAGAATTAAGTACCAGAAATACAGACAAGCTTGTGCAAAATGTTATTTTCTGATTTTATAAAAGACAGTATTCATATTTTAAAGAATAAAATACGGGGATAAATGAAGTAAGACGTTCATAAAACTTGAAGTTACAATCGTAACTTGAAGTTATGCCTTTCTGCATCAAAAAAGCAATTAAGTATCAGTTAAAAGTAAGGAAATGTCTCCTGGAGCTCGAAGAATTGTTGTTCACACACTTGGCCAGCAGAGGGACTGCTGATGTCTGAGTCATGCTCTACCCAAAGAAGTGCCTTAGTTATGCAGAAAAAGCATTTCCAGGGCAGTGCAGCTCCCAGGTAAAGAATTTTGCTTTTGGTACTAATCTGCAGCATGAAGGCTGTCCACCCGGAGATTCAGTGAAGTGCCCAAGCTTTCAAAAAATGAACCCACACCTCAAAATCCAGCATCTTCCCCTAATGGATGAAGGGGTTTATTTAGATTTAAAATGACAAAAGCACTTCTCCAGGCTTAAGTGACTACAATACAACTAAATCTCAGCAATATCCAGGCTGTTTGCAGATAGGCTGACACCACCAGTCAGCCAGTGGCCAGCATTCCTTTCCATTCATCTACCTCCCTCACTTGCCAGGCAAGCCTCTGGCCCTCTATGGACATTTTTCATTTAACAAGCGTGGACTGGACCACTAGTTCTCCTGATACTATGAAAACACAGTGATCATTGGTCTAACTTGTACACTTTTATGTTTCCAATAAAGGGCCCAGATTTCCAAATAAAGCTTGGAAATACATATTGTTATCATCCTTCTCCCTCTCCTTTTATATAATGACCTAGTGCAATTTAGTTTCAAACATTTTCAGTTTGCAGACCTCTAAAAACTTCTCAGCAGAGATATATAGTGAATTTAAGCCTACTAACAAAATGCTTCTCATGGTTTCATTTCTTAGACCCTTAGGGAAGGAATCCATACACTTTACAAATTAAAACCCACCATAGTGCCCAAGCCTTATCTTGATTGCAACCAACCAGTGAATGTGTCCTGTAGCTCTAATTGTACCATTTGATTTTACAGGTCTGCCTGAAGGCAGAAGGGTATAATTCCCATGTAAACAGTATTAAATTGGTGAGAATTGCCTTACATATATTGAACAGAATTGTGTGTTTCACTTTGCCAATGGTGATACATTTTAAAGAGATATAACTATTAGAAATTCTTCCTTTATTCAGCTAGAGTATTTTTATTTGTATCAGAAAAGTGCAAACATATCAACAAACTCAAGAAATCAATTTAACTGTATGCATGTGCTTTACAGCCAGAGGAGTAGTATTCTGGAGAGTGAATCTCCCCTCTGCATGTGCAGTTGTCACCTCAGATAGGTCATTTACATGTCATGTTCTGGCCTGTCCCTCATTATTCTGGTTGTTGGTGTGTGCACAGTAACCAGGTCCCAGGCACACTGTGCCAAGACAGGCAGTTGAGGCTGTATCCAAACTAGGACTTAAGCAGAATCTAGACCTCATGTTAGGTACTTCAATACATAGGGAATGCAGAAAGAGAGAGACCTCAAACAAGGTCCAGAATGGCTGCCTCATAGTTACACACATCTTCTCCTGAGCTTACAACCACTTGAAAAATCAAGCTGATATCTACTTTTAGAAAATATCGAGGCACTTGGTTCTTCCCCTCTAGGCAAATGTTTATCTGCCAAATGCATTCTGACCCAGCTCTCCCATAATGGCACCCCAGTCAGTGTCCTATTTCTGTGTGATACTGCGGAAACTTGTCTATCAACATACAACAGAACAAACCCCATCTCAGCTATGGGACTACATGCTGTTATGTAGAAACAAAAGGAATTACGAAACAGGATGGAGGTCATGACAAGTTTCCTGGGTATTGCTATCAAGACAGGTTCAGAAGTCAGATGGATAAACTTTATACAAGTTGTTTCCAGAAACGTTGTGTTCTGGAGACAAACAAAAACAAAACCCAAAAGCAAACAAACAAACAAGCAAATAGAGAAAAAAAAATTACACACACACAAAAAAGTTTTTATTCTCTGTAATTCTCACTGACATTCCTGAAGAAATTGCTTAAAAAATTAAAAAGAGAGAAAAGTTAAGTTACTCTTTCTTTTCCCCATATGCTTCAGAATTGTCTAATTTGGATGCAGAATGGTGGGTGGGTTTTTTGGATTTTCAAGGACAGTTGCTCCAATTGTACAGAAAAGCTCAGCATCCCTTCTATTTATGACAGAGCAGAAAACGTCTAAGTAACTAGCAAAGTAGAAACAGCAAAATCTGCAAATTCTTACTTGAATTTAACCTCCAAGCTTCTGCCTATAGGTGACAGACTCCATTTCCCATTGATGCAAATTCTTTTAATCAATTAATTAATTCAAATTATGTGCACTGTAAAATAAAGGCCTTTGTGTTTGAATTTCTTGTGCTGCAGAGAAATACTATTCTCTTCCTATTGTTATTGTCTAATACACAAGTCACACAAAACATTTTTTGGAGAAAAGGTTTAAAATCCAGTGGCTTATGCAACATGACAGGAAAGTGCTGCATGAAAATGCAAGCTGTGCTATGTAAAGGTGATTGCAAAGTAAGCACTAATTTTAAAGCTAGTTCACCAGAGTACTTAAAAGACCTGTTAACCCAACTTCTCATTCACATGTAGGAGTTTCATAAAAACTCATTTTAGAATGTCTAGCGAATGTCTCCCCAGCCGTTTCAGAGATTTTATCCCTTGTTATTTCAATACAGTAAAATGCTGAGCTTATGAGTTTTCATATGCCCGATAAGGTTGAATTAGTGCGTGAAATAATCAGCTCCTAAAACTGGTCTGAGAAGAGACAAACTAGGCAATAACTGTGTTTCTCTTACTCTGGATTTATAGCTATAGTTCTGCTATTAACCTCTAAGTTTTTATATGGTGCATTTGCATCTTTGATAAGTATTCCTGCCCAAATGAAGGTTTAAACAGACAACTAGAGTAAAAATAACACTTAAATTTCATCAAGCCAGGGACACAAATATGTCAGATTTATTTGAAACCAGCTATCTAAGTAAATTGTGTTAATTTAGGACCTTTCTTAATAAAGTTCTCTTTAGTATTAATTTATTTAAACAGACTGAAAAGCCATTTAATAAAT